AAAGTAGACATTAATTATAGAGTCAAGGTTTCAACTCAGTCGACTCCACAATATTTTTCTGTTACTCCGATAGCATTGGAGAAATTCGGGGGCCCTCACGACGCACTTGGCAGCCCAGCTCCTGTGAAATAATAATCCAGTGTCTATTTGTCTCCTGATATGACGGAGTCATCTCATGTGAGTAAATAAGATTATAAATGTATGCTTTCAAAGTACATCATCACTACAAAAACACCTAAGCGAACCAACGATATCGGGAAATAAAATCTAATAGAAAGATGCCTGCCCTGTAGCCCTACTCGGAAAAGGTTTGTGTGAGAACAGGAGAATCGATTCTCCTACTTGTTAGGCACACGAGTCGACTCACCTTTTTCAAGAAGAATCTGCGTATTTGTAGTAAGGATATGTCTTATCAATATTGTATATGTAGAACTAAACTTCATAGAAGATAACCTATGCATGAAGTTACAGCACTCTCCTCTAAATATATCACCATAAATGGACAGCTTGTTAATTAATAGATTAATTAATTAATTGGACAACTTTTATTATTAAAATGACAGCAAAATATAGGCACAGTTCACCTGCAGAAACAGTGATGAACACAATGCTCAATGGTTATTTAAGTACTTCTTTGGTGCCTCATTGAGCACTGTTGGATTGAATGGGACTAGCAAACCTTCTACAGTAGGATACCAGTCCAAAAGGGATCCTGTTTTCCATCACGAAAGGCGTGAAATATAATCCCTGTGATCTTTCACATGCTGCTTGAGCAGATCATGGATTTCTAGATATTCAAGACCTTTGTCATGTTCAAAAAATTGGTTGTGACTCAAATGGCCCATTTATCCCTGTGATAAAGATTAAATTGGATCAAGGTCTGTTGTAATGGGGGGGAAAAGCAATAAGATGCAAGATTTATAACCTGTATTCGTTTTCCAAGGGGTGAATCTCACAAAAATGGAGGGTTAATGATTACACTGGGTCATGTAGTAGACTATCTGTTTCCAAGATTAATGATTGACCTACAACTTGTGCACTTTGAGATATGTTAAGCAAATAAAATCACATAGATTAAAGATTTCCTCAAGCAAAGTTCAAGGCATCTGCAGTGCAGCCTGACTGCAACATCAATTGACGTCTGCGCAAGTTTTTTATTAGAGGTAATTTACAGGTAATTTATTATAATTACAATTATTAAAGGGATAGTTCACCCAAAAATGAACAATCTCACTGTGTTTGAATATGCATGCTTCCCTACTGTATAGTAGGAGAAAACCAGTA